AACCCCAATGAAAATTCACTAACAACTTACTAACTGCCAAAATTAATGGACACTATTTACTCATACTCTTAGACCTTCCTGCTGCCTGTAACATGGTTGGTAACTAACTCCTCCAAAAACTCCCCTGCCTCAGCCTCCAAGACTCTGCTCTTTCTTGGTTTTCCTCTTGCATATCTCTGTGCACCTTCAGCATCACCTACAACTTTATCTCCTACTCTTTCTGTAGGAATCCCCCAGAGCTTTTAGACCCCTTCTATCCCTACTTACACCTCCTCCCAAAGTCAGTTGATAACCTCCAACAGTTTCCAATCATCTTAGCTCCTTCCTAGACCACTTGCTCTAGCCTACCTAACATGTGCGATTGAGAAGGTGGCTTTTAATCGAATGACACAGACCTGGATCACAGAGGGCTACCAAACACCCACTGTAGATGTTCAATAAATTCATTTTATCTACATTTATGTATACATTCAAATAAAGAGCAAAACATTTGGGGGTATATAGAAGTATAGCAGGGGGTTGCCGTGGTGGGGGTATGCAGTGTTTTGGGTGCATGGTATTTTTACATTATTTTCAAAGGGTTCAGTGAGGTGCTGCGAAAAGGATGCTCTGAAATCTGTTAATAACAACTGCTTGATGTACTGTAATCACCTCAAGAGTGGTGAGGAAAAACAGGCCCTAATTAATGAAACAAAAGTAGCTAAGGTGTACACAAATGCAGAATTAGTTGTAAATCAGTTGTTGCAGACAGATATTGGTCCTAAATGGAATTTTAGGTGTGCAGTTCAAAGAACTCAAGCATATTGGTTAAAATAGATGTAAACTCAATCATTTATATCTTATTTTTGTTTTAACAAGACACTTGGAAAGCCTACAGTAACTTTATTTCACTCACTAGCATTTCTTAAATAACTTCTTCCCCATCACCCACAATCTCCTGTCTGTAATTTACCTTCACATGCTCCCCCAAATGAAACTATAAGCTGTTGTGCTGATTCCACTGCTGTCACCATGACTTTACTAGTAGAGGGGTTTCAATAGAGTGCACCTTACACTTACAATTGCAGCCAGCAACAATTAGGAACTGAACCATGTGAAAAAAACACATGCAGCCTGTTATCACTATAGTGCAGGTAGACAGGGACAGGCTGTAAAGAGGCTGCAGCAAATCAAAAGTAATAAAGTGGTATTAAATCCAAAAGCATACATTTATTATATTGCAGCTTGCCAATTCTTAGGTGTGGTGGTTGCATTTCTTTTCTTTTTTAGACGTTCTTTCATTCTTACCTGGAGATCTAGCACATAAGTCAGTTGTTATTCAACAGAATAAGCAATTAGAAGGAAGAAACAAATCATTGAACACTGATGGGGTCCTTACAATTGTCAGATTTTTTTTAAATTTACATATAATAAACCTTTATCCCACCCACAAGTAACAAAATTGTTTGCTTTAACTGCTTAAAAAGTGTTAGCTGAACTTTGGCTTCAATTTGTTTAGTGCATCTAAATTTGCAAGTGCATCTAACACTCTCTTTTCTCTGCCCCCCAAGACTGATAATGCTGCTGTGCTAAGATGTCTCTGTTGCACCTTTATCCAGCGCATATCCACCCTAATACAGGAGGTGTATTACTGACCAGGTCACAAAAAAATAATGAATGCACCACATCTATAGATTAGTAAGCTGAAATATATTAACGTTTTGGTTTCAATATCACTTTAAAATGTAACAAAGAATGAATAAAGGTAAAAACCCTCCCTTCCCTCCATCCTTAGATTCTCCAAGATACCAGTGCCTACCAACTCTACACTAATCTCTGCCTATGCATTTTATTGGCAGCACTCCCTATGCTTTCCCTATCATAGTTAGGGCGCCCCAACTAGGAACGATGCTCTGCTGAACCTGGTAATCTCAAACCATGCAGAGCTTATTACTAATGTCCATATAAAAGAACATCTGGGTAGCAGTGACCATAACATGATTTCTTTTATTGTCAGCTGTAAAAAAACAAGCACATATGGGAAAAATAAAAACGCTCAACTTTAAGAGAGCTAATGTTCCAAGGTTGAGAGCTGCTCTCCAAGACTGGCTGGGAATATTGGCATCGATGAACACAACACAGAAATGGGAGTTCTTCAAAAAGACTGTATGTAAACTCACTGCAAAATATATTCCTATGGGCAACAAGTTTAAAAGGCTAAAAATCAAACCTATGTGGCTTACGGCCAAAGTTAAAAAAGCTATGAATAATAAGAATAGAGCTTTTATTAAATATAGAAATGAGGGAATGCTATAATCGTTTAAACATTACAAAGAATATAACAGCATATGTAAAAAGGAAATCAAGGCTGCAAAAATTGAAAACGAACAACAGATTGCAAAAGGTAGCAGGACAAACCCCCAAAAATTCTTCAAATATATTAATAGTAAAAAGGTTCGGTCCAAGCATGTAGGCCCTTTACAAAATAATCTAGAGTGGGGTGATTGGGATAAAGAGAAGGCAAATTTATTAAATACCTTCTTCAGCTCTGTGTATACAAAGGAGCATGGGGGAGCTCTTGTCCATAATGGGCATGGTATTGACACAGCTCCAGATGATCCACATTGGCTCACAATTGATATGATCCAAAAATATTTAGACAGAATAAAGGTGAATAAAGCACCTGGACTGGATGGCATACACCCACGGGTCCTTAAAGAATCGAGCTCTGTCATTTCAAAGCCATTGTTTCTAATTTTTAGGGACTCTTTAATGACTGGCATATTACCACTGGATTGGCGTAAGGCCAATGTGGTGCCAATATTTAAAAAAAGATCAAAATCTTTACCAAGTAATTATAGACCTGTTAGTTTAACTTCTATAGTTGGGAAGATACTGGAGAGTTTAATAAAAGACCACATAGATGAGTTCTTGCTGGACAAAAAAAATATTTTACGCAACAGACAGCATGGATTCATGAAAGACAGAAGTTGTCAAACGAATCTGATTTCTTTTTATGAGGAGGTGAGCAAAACCTTGGACAGAGGGGTGGCGCTGGACGTGGTATACTTGGATTTTGCAAAAGTGTTTGACACAGTTCCCCACACATGGCTAATGTGTAAGGTAAAGTCGACAAGCTTGAAAAAATACGTATGTAAATGGATAGAAAACTGGCTAAAAGATCATATTCAGAGAGTAGTGGTTACAGCGCTGAGCAAACTGTTGACACTATATAAATAATGTGTAATAATAATAATAATAATGATTCATACTCTGAATGGTCTAGGGTTGTACATAGTGGTGTACCCCCTAGGGTCTAGTGGTGTACCCCAAGGTTCAGTGTTGGGACCCTTACTTTTTAATATATTTATAAACGATATAGGTTCTGGGATTAAAAATTCCATTTCAGTCTTTGCAGATGACACCAAGCTGTGCAGTGGAATAACGTCCTTACAGGATGTCTCCAATTTACAAGCCGACCTCAATGCACTGTGTAATTGGGCAACTATGTGGCAAATGAGGTTTAATGTTGATAAATGTAAGGTTATGGACTTGGGGGCTAAGAATATGCATGCATCATACATACTAGGGGGGGTACAACTGGGGGAATCAATGGTGGAGGAGGATCTGGGGGTTCTGGTAGATCACAAGCTTAATATTGGCATGCAATGCAAGCTGCGGTTTCTAAAGCGAGCAAAATCCTCTCTTGTATTAAAAGAGGTATAGACTCCAGAGAGAGAGATATCATATTACCCCCGGTACAAATCATTAGTAAGACCTCATCTGGAATATGCAGTTCAGTTTTGGGCACCAATTCACAAAAAGAACATAGAGGAACTGGAGAAAGTGCAGACAAGGGCAACCAAACTGATACGAGGCATGGAGGAGCTCAGCTATGAGGAAAGATTAGAGGAACTGAATTTATTCTCTCTTGAGAAGAGGAGATTAAGGGGGGATATGATCACCATGTATAAATACATCAGTGGTTCATATAGTGAACTTGGTGTAGAGTTATTCACCCTGAGGTCATCACAGAGGACAAGGGGGCACTCTTTACGTCTGGAGGAAAAGATATTTAATCTCCAAACATGGAAAGGTTCTTCAGAGTAAGAGCTGTGAAAATGTGGAATAGACTCCCTCAAGAGTTGATTCTGACCAGCTCAGTGGATTGCTTTAAAAAAGGCCTGGATTATTTCTTATATACAAAGAATATAACTGGATACTAACATTTATAGGTAAAGTTGATCCAGGGAATATCTGATTGCCTTTCGGGGGATCAGGAAGGAATTTTTTCTCCTGCAGGAGCAACTTGGATCATGCTTTGCTGTTTTTTTTTTCCTTCCTCTGGATCAACTGTGGGTATAGGATTATAACTTTTTTTTTTTTATGGTTGAACTGGATGGACTATTGTCTTTTTTTCAGCCAGACTAACTATGTAACTATATCTAAAGCAATATTGTTACTATGGCTGCTGTTACCTCGCCCTTTTATAGGCTGGGGGATCAAACTTATCCAAAGTCCCCCTTATTGGCCCTAGAGAGCCAGCTGGCCTAAGTTCAAAAGTCAGTAAATGCATTATGGTATGAAGAGTTGGGTGAATTCCACATTAGCTGGGTGCACGAACCTCAAGCATGCAGCTTTGGCTGAAACCCACGGTGGCAGTGAACCCGAACCTCATCTCTAGTTTAGAGATTTAGTTCTTCCAACTTCCTTGTTTTTCTGAATCTTTTAGCTGTGTTTAGAGTATACATTAACAGTGTTAGCACGTTTGCAGCTTCAGGCATAGAGAGACGGTACAATCTTGGAGTTCTGGTATAGCGTATTCTACACCATGCCCCACCTCCTCTAGACTGATCCTGTAAGTGGGAAGGAAGCTTATCCAAGGGCACTCAGGTATGGTCACATTACACTGCAGCAGTCCCTGCTCTCAGCTACTCAGGATCAGAATCAGAGTTACAGTGTAATGTGAGATTGAGATTCTCACACATTTCTTTCTGAAAAGTTTGAAGTGAGAGAAAAAAATGTCATGCAGGAAAAGCTATTTTAGAACACAATTAAAGCAAATATCAAGCATAGGCTGCTCAGAAATAAAAGCATGGTGTCTCGGAAGAATCCCTATCTTGGAGTGGGCTCCCAAGTACGACCTCCGACAAAACCTGATTCCTGACTGTATCTCTGGAACGATGCTGACAGTTCACCAGGTGGCACACGGTACTGTGACTATACAGCTTTCTTTTCTTCTCCTAATATCGTGTCATGTGATAAGCAGCAGGAAACGACTAGCAATGTATAACTTCACCTTTGAGTACGATTTCAGCGATAAGCACACTAACACAATTGTTTCATTATTTTTATTCTTTATATTTGATAGACTCCCATCCATGTGTCTCATTTTTAATAGGGGGACAGGTGCTTTGAATGAACCTTTTCTGTTTTAAATTAAAGCATAGCTCATCTCTTAAAGTGCTACTTAACCCACAGAAGTAAAATCAGTCTGTATATGCAGCAAAACATGCTTGTTATACTCACTGTGTAACCTAAGGGGTTAATCCTCTGCATTGTGTAAAAAGGCTGTTTGATCCTGTCTTCTCTGATCCTCCCCTTCTTCCAGTGTCCCCCTCTTATCTCCTCATAAGCCATAATGTGTGGAGTCACTCTGCACATGCTTAGTTTGGTGTGTATTGCTAGAGAGATGTTTTTTTTCTTGGAAGAGTGCATGTGATCAGCACAGGACCAATCAGCACTGTCCAGACAAAGGTCAAGGGTCCTGCATCCTCCTATAGCAAAATCAAAACTCCTCCTAAAATCCTTAACCAGTGCTCTGCTGGACACTGATAGAAGTCACACGACTGATCTAACTGCTGATGAGAAAAAGTATTTAGCAGTTTATATTTGCTAAAATAATTGCATGTCCATGATCTGTGTACTGTGGGAGACCAGATATAGTGAATGCAGGGTCTTGGGTTTAGTAACCCTCTAAATAAAAGTATAATGGTTTTGCTTATTTTCTTCTTTATGTATTATGGCCAAGAGTCAAAAATAAAATAAAAAAATATGTTTTTCAGGTAAACATATTATTGCATATTCATTTTTATATTCTCACTTTTAGCCAGCTGGTAAAGCTTAGGGTTTAGTTGTACATTTTCCTGTCCAACTTTATCAGCTTTGCTAAAAGATACCCATTGTTTATAGAGTTCAGTAGCTCAATCTAAATGCATGCAAGTTAAAGTGACACTAAAGCTTTGTTTTTTTTAAATAACAAACATTTTATACTTACCTGCTCTGTGCAGTTATTTTGCACAGAGCAGCCCCGATCCTCTTCTTTTCTGGTCCCCGCCAGCGCTCCTGCCCCCCCCCCCCCCCCTCAAGCAGTGCCCAGGGAAAGCCACTTGTCCTGGGAGCACCACTGCATGCTTGTCCCAAGCCGCTGCTCTATTCGTCCATAAGGCACATAATGCTGTGGCTCGGCCCCGCACCCGCTCTCTCCTCATTGGCTCACTGGCTGTGAATGACAGCAGTGGGAGAAAATGGGTTCCCGCTGCTGTCTCAGCCAATGAGGAGGAAGAGTCTCCAGACAGCAGAGGCTGTCAAGAACGTGGCTGGATCGGAGGGGGCTCAAGTAAGGATTGGGGGGGGGCTTTGGGAGCTGCTGTACACAGATTTTTTATCTTGATGCATAGAATATATGAACGTAAAAACCTTGAGCCTTTAGAACCACTTTAAAGCACACCTTCACTCATTACAATGACTTTGTGTGGTGGCAGTCCTCCTCCTCTCAGCAACATATACAGTTGTGTTCAAAATAATAGCAGTCAGACATCACTAACCTGATCAATCACTGTTTTTGGTAGAAATGATATTTCTACATGGCAAATAATTTCCTAGCAGGTGTAGCAGAGTAATAGAAATCCAACAGACCCAACAGTCATGACATGCATGCTGCTGATTCTGTGTAATTGAATCACTAATTTAAAGGGGCATGTTCAAAATAATAGCAGTGTGGAGTTCTATTAGTGAGGTCATTCATTCTTTGAAAAACAGGTGGCAATTATTGCCCTTATTTAAGGAAGGAAGGCAGCAAATGTTGTCCATGCTGGTTACAGTGCATTTCTCTCTGAAATTCTGAGGAAAATGGGTCATTCCAGACATTGTTCAGAAGAACAGCGTACCTTGATTAAAAAGTTGATTGGAGAGGGGAAAACTTATAAAGAAGTGCAGAAAATGAAAGGCTGCTCAGTTAAAATGATCACAAATGCTTTTTAAATGGCAACCAAAGCCTGAAAGACATGGAAGAAAGCGAAAAAAACTACCATTCGAATGGATAGAATAGCCAAAATGGCAAGGACTCAGCCAACAATCAGCTCCAGGAAGATCAAAGAAGGTCTAAAGTTACCTGTGAGTACTGTTACAATTGGAAGACGCCTATGTGAAGCCAAGCTATCTGCAAGAAGCCCCCGCAAAGTCCCACTGTTGAAAAAAAGACATGTGCTGAAGAGGTTACAATTTGCCAAAGAGCACATTGACTGGCCTAAAGAGAAATGGCGCAACATTTTGTGGACTGATGAAAGTAAGATTGTTCTTTTTGGGTCTAGTGGCCGGAGACAGTTTGTCAGACGACCCCCAAACACTGAACTAAAGCCACAGTACACTGTGAAGACAGTGAAGCATGGTTGCGCAAGCATCATGATATGGGGATGTTTCTCATACTACGGTGTTGGGCCTATTTATCGCATACCAGGGATCATGGATCAGTTTGAATACATCAGAATACTTGAAGAGGTCATGCTGCCTTATGCTGAAGAGGAAATGCCCTTGAAATGGGTGTTCCAACAGACAACGCCCCCAAACACACCAATAAATGTGCAACATCTTGGTTCCAGACCAACAAGATTGACGTTATGGAGTGGCCAGCCCAATCCCCAGATCTTAATTCAATAGAAAACTTGTGGGGTGACATCAAAAATGCAGTTTCTGAGGCAAAACCAAGAAATAGAGAAGAACTGTGGAATGTAGTCCAATCATCCTGGGCTGGAATACCTGTTCACAGGTGCCAGACGTTGGTTGACTCCATGCAACACAGATGTACAGCAGTTCTCAGAAACAGTGCTTATACAACTAAATATTCATTAAGTGATTCAAAGGAAAGCAAAATCTTCAAACATTTTTCAGTTTATATCGTGAATGTTTGAGTTTGTAAAGAAGAATACAAACACTGCTATTTTTTTGAACAGTCTAATATTCACTTTTCTTCAATTTATTTAGAGGAACAACACAAATTTGATATATTTTTCTTCATGTTTTGATTTGGAATAGAATGTGTAGTGTCCCCAATGCATTTGTGTGTATGGAAATAAAAGCTATTAGAAGGATTTTGAGCTTTATTCACTTTTTTCAACACACTGCTATTATTTTGAACACAACTGTATATGAAGCTGACATTTATTTCCTTTTTAGTTACCTTTTTAGTAATATTTTCTGTCCAGCTGTTTTCCATTTTTGGATGGACAAGAATGTCATTTCTGTTCTTGCTGCCTCCTGGGATACCCATGTCACATATATCAAGAGGCTTTATGTAGCTTACAGCAGCAGGTTGGTGAACCTAATGCTGGAGGAGGGAGGACCTGAAGTGCATCACGAGGAACTGACTGTTTGAACCCAGAAGAGACAGTTGGGCTTCCAATGATGACAGAAAGATGGTGGCAGAGGACCTAGCTAGTGGCTCTGAAGCAGTGGGTTACAGAAGAACAACGCTTGATTCATTGGGAATGTGAGCATGTTTTTCTAGATTCCACTAGCGACAAAGGTAAAAGGGGAGGCACATATACACACGGGGACTGAAGTTTCTCTAATCAATCAAAGAAGTGACCCCTCCTTCCCTCTCCTCTTAATTTGCTACTTCTGAGTATCTAAAATGAAGAAACGTCTGCTGTGCTTTCGGTTTAGAAAATCTGTGGTGCTCTGGGAATCCTTTTTTCATAGCTGTTTACTGTCTTCATTTTTTTTTTTCAGTCTGCTGGATGAAAAAAAGAAAAAAACTAATAGCATATGGCCACCTTGATAGTGGAATTACTTTTGAAAGATTTAATTGTACTTTTTGTTGTATCTTCAGAGTGAAACGGGCCACAGACAGCAAAACGTGACAGAGTTTTTAACCATTCCTTACACTTTCCAAAACAGCATGTTTTATCTATACCAGGCATCACTAAATGGTGGACCGGACCCCCATAACAGTCCTGTCTGGACCTCATCCTTGCCAGATAGATGCCTAAGTGTTCTCTCCCAACCATCGGCTCGCCTGCCCACCGCTATCATTCTCAAAGAAGAGCACAACATGGGAGGCGCACCAGGTCTGGATAGAAGACTTTTCAAGTTGAGTGGCAAGCTATTGGTTGCTGGGCTGCAGAGTGGTCCAAGCAATCATTCACACACCTTTAACAGGAAAAGTCCTGTCCTTTGTCCAGACCTGCCACGTCTCCCATCTTGTGTGAATGAGGTAGGACAGTAAAGGGAGTGGGGGGGGGGGGGGGTGCTGCAATGTGGTGAAAGGGACAGTCTGTAATATGGAGGGAGGACTATGATGTGGAAAGGGGAGGGGGAAACTGTGATATAATGGGGGTCTATAGTGTAACAGGGGACTGTGAAGTAAGAGGGGGTGATAATATGAGAGAAAGATTGTGCTGTAAAGAAGGGGAGAGGGAGGACTGTGACTGTGGTATAAGGTTTGGGGAGCTGTGATGCAAAGAGGGGACTGAGGGCAATGGTGTAAAAGGGGTCTGTGATGTGGTGGGTCTATAATTCTATAAAGAGGGGGTCTGTGATGGGGCGGTCTTGGCCTTAAAGGTGGAGGGGGGGAATGGACGATGACGTGCACAGGAGGCTGTGATGTGAAGGCTCTGATTCATAGCACAAACATGACACTCGGACCTCCGCTGGAATAAAATTTATTTGACCAGACCCCCATGAATTTTAGTTCAATACCCCTGGTCTATACATACACTTTATTAATTAACTCTTTAAATTTGATGACTTGACATAATGAGACAAATTTTACCACAAGTACTAATCTTTGTTTTGGCTCCATAGGCCTAGCATTTGCTGTGATGTCATCGGTTCATCCAATGTTTGGATTATATGGGTCTGTGTTCCCCCCATTGATCTACGCTATATTTGGTATGGGCCGACATGTTTCCACAGGTGAGATCTAAGAATTACTAATGCAAAATGCACTCAGGTATATGAAAGGACATGCATGCCCTCATGCCTTCACTGTTGGAGATTCTGGACTGTCCAACAAGAACAAATATAATTGCGAGGTGTGAGGAAAAGTCCCCTTTTAGAAATAAAGCATGTATTCAGTAGGTTAGGTTGGTACAAACTATAACTAACCCATGAGCCACAGTCTCATCGGTTAGGTAATAGTTGTCGAGGACTAGAAGGGCGGCTCAAAGCCAAAATTACCAAATTACAATAACATTTTCCATGTTGTTCTCCCTCTTCTGTCCACTTCTGGACCCATGTGGTCAAATTCAGTAAGACAAATATAGATAGAGTGGAGGGCAGGGGATGTTGAGAAGAATCAAAAGGCTCTTCATAGTTTATGAAACATGAACTCATCTTTCCTTTCTCTTTGTTTAGTATTCACCTGAAACTAATGGCATGTTTGTTAGATTTCAGCTCTCGTTGATTTGACTATAGTAAACTGATCTGGCTCCCACTCTCCCTCCCCTGTATGAATATATATATCTTTTTGTTCACTTATTTAAAGTAATATTTTATTTACTGTGTTAAGCACATGCATTCATTAGAATAAAATATACAGTAGTTCTCAATAATGTTCCTTTAACTCATTACCTTTCATGGACTGGCTATGCTCCAGTGCTTAGAACAGAGTGTACTTCAGCCTTGCGCTTGTTCTCATATACTGTATATACAGTATATGTTGAGTTTCAAAGTTGTGCCCAGCTCACTCTACTTCCTTTCTGTTGCAGGCACTTTTGCTATTACATCCCTGATCTCTGCTTCAGCTGTTGAGAAGCTTGTTCCTTCGAACAATGGCACTGCGTCTAATGGCTCATTGGGAGATGTGGCTATATCTGATTTTGAAATGCAAAGAATAGGAGTTGCTGCAGCTGTGACCTTTCTAGGTGGAGTCATACAAGTGAGTGCCTCTATGCTGTGAGGGGGTTATTATTCATTAGTACAATTATTCCCCAACAAAATGAGATTATCCAGAATTGTGAAACAGTCTTGTATTTCACGTCTCCCAGATTTGCACCATAGGAGAACAAGAAGGGTAGACTGGTCTAATTTGGACAATCTCCTAAAGGGTACCTGTACTTAAAGTAATATGGATGCTGCCATAGCTGACCTACTAGAAATGCTAGTTACCTGGAACAAAGCCAGAAAAGGCAAAACTCCTGATGGTCATCCATGCTTTTTTTTCATCTGTAATTCAGAAAGTACTGAAGCCATGTGATCAGCACAACAAAAACATAATTTTTAGAAGTAGATTTCAGCAAAGGCAGCCTCCATATTTCCTCAATGGAAGCATTCTTTAATTAGTGTGGACAATCATATGTACCAATTAATTTAAATTGGTAATTCAGAATAGTGATATTAAAATACTTTTGATGTGGATGTAGATGTGGATTTTCAAAATCTGAGTACAGCTATTGTGATGTAGTTCAGGAGAGTTGTCCGCACATCTCACAGTCTGATTGTACAAGATACTATGCATTTGTAAAATTATGAGGTTGTGTGAAACCATGACTGCAAGTTAAAATTTTATATGAATGGCACATAGATTGCTAAATTAGATTTTAAAACTGGACACACATGTTACAATCTGATTGTCCAATCTTACTAACAACTAAGCAGTGGAAAGGTCTACCTGTTGGCTTTAAAATGAAATAGATTGTTTAAGTAGGCCTTCACATTGCTTTTGATAAACCAAAAGCTGTCCACATGTCATTTTACTGTACTGTCTCCTTTGAATTTCCAACATCTATGTGGGAGGATGACCCATAGGACTGGATAAAAATTGTATTGAGTGTTTGCTCAGGCTCTCAAACTAAACATTATTGATACAATCATTGTAGCCAACCTAAGAGAGATAGCACAGAGATCATACAATCAAATTGTAATACAACCAGGATAATACTGAACACATGCCATTAATACCTTGCTTCAAGCAATTTTATTACATTTTAATTGTACAAATTTTTGCACAATAACCCAAGCCTAGCAAATTCATCACAGGAATGGATTGTTAACAGTAAGTGAGAGAAACTCTCCCTAATTAGGACACCTGACAAAGGTTCCAACCCTTACCCACTCTATCCAAAACTAAATAAAAAAGTTTCATCTAGAGTCAGGCTTAATGCAAAAATTTGTGTTCAAGAAATTAACATTTTTGGGAGAAATTTTTCAAAAGGCAAAATAAATGAGTTAAAATACCTCATCATCTTAGTGAACTCATCCTAGTAGGTAACATAAAACTTGTAGATCCACATGGGCAGACACTGGTATAAATGGTTCTGTGAACTTATGTCAGTGCCATAAAGTTTAGTCAAATAATATTGGTCTACTGTTATGCTTGTTGTGGATCACAAAGTTCAATCTGTTTTCTTAATAATGTTTCACTCAAACTATATTTGGCCTTGAAGAGAAAACATACAGTATATTTATGTGGAGGACATCTACTTATTGGGAAGAACTTGAGCTAGCATAAATTGAAATGGTAAAAATACAATCTGTTAATGCTGGAAACCATCCAAATATAAAAGTTAGTTAGTTAAAAATATTCTTGAATATACTTGTGATAGAGTAAATCCAAATGGAAGAAACACTATATGTTAAAACTGAAAAACAACCAAAAACACCTTTTAAGCCAGTTGCGTATTAGTTAAAAAGATACTTTTAAAAATACTTTAAATACTGCTAGTATACATTCCTGAGATCTGTGTTTATTTTAGCTTCCCATGTTCCTTGCTCTTCAGAGCAGATACGATACTGGGATTTTGCCTATATAAGGTCAGAGCACAGTGATGGTCTAATCAACTCAGCAGATCTGCTTCTTTATTGCCGATTGCCCAGAGTGGGAAAGGAGAGGTGCCTAAGGAAGCAGAACTTTGGTTGTGCATAAAATTGCTGTGCTGATATATGAAAATCAGATAAATCAAACATAACTGAACCTCTCCAAAACCGAGTTTCTTGTCTTCCCCCCAGCCCGGACATCACCCCCCACTGACTTCTCCATCACATCCAACAACGCCACCATCAAACCTTCCCTGCAGGCCAGAGTACTTGGTGTCATTCTGGACTCCAACCTATCCTTCCAGCCCCAAGTCCAATCTTTAACAAGCTCGTGCAGACTCCACCTCCGCAACATCGCCAAAATACGCACGTTCCTAACCCCAGAAACCACTAAACAGCTCATCCACTCCCTCATCATATCACGACTCGATTACTGCAACTCCCTCCTTACTGGCCTGCCTCGCCGCTGGCTATCCCCGCTTCAGTCGATCCTGAATACAGTGCCAGACTCATTCACCTTTCCAACCGCTCTATTTCCGCCACCCCCCTCTGCCAATCCCTCCACTGGCTTCCGATTGCACAACGGATCAAATTCAAAATCCTAACACTGACGTACAAAGCCGTCCACCATACTGCCCCGATCTACATCACTGACCTAATATCCAAGTACCACCCAGCACACACACTCCGCTCCTCACAAGACCTCCTTCTCTCTAGTTCCCTGGTCTCCTCCTCCCATGCCCGCCTCCAGGACTTCTTCAGGTTGTCACCCATCCTCTGGAACTCCCTGCCCCAACCCATCAGATTATCACCTACTCTCCTCTCCTTTAGGCACACCCTGAAAACCCACCTCTTCAGGGAAGCCTACCCCACCCCCTGCTAACTTGCCGACCTCCTCCACTCTTCCTACCACCCCATCCCCCACAGCTATCTCCTCCTGTGCCACCATCCCCTCCCTCCTAGATTGTAAGCTCGAAAGAGCAGGGCCCTCGATCCCCTCATGTTTTGCATTGTATTGTTGTTGTTCTGTCACATGTTCTGTCCCCCTTTGTAATGTACAGCGCTGAGCGAACCATTGGCGCTTTATAAATACTGTATAATAATAATAAGTTATATGAAGTCCACTAGTGTTAAAAGTCCATTTAATTCCATGCATTAAATAAATAAAAGTCTGTATCCAAAATGAGCAAATTGGTGAACCCCAACCTAGCAAACTTTAAATAGTCGACCGACACCACAGGAAATTTCTACCACCAAAGAATCATAAATGGAAGCTTACCAGAAATCCATGACTCTCTTCCTACAGAGAAGTCATGGGAAGCATGTAATATGGTAAATTATTGGCTGGATCTTCAACACATTTTTCAGGGTATACTGTTTGGCCAAAGATATCAATGCCACTATGTATCCTCCGCCAGTCTCCACATCTCCTAGCACATTCAAAAGGAAGAAAAGGAACAAGTGCTCCACATAGTGTGAAATCCCATATAAAATCTTTACTAACACTTTAAACTGCACTTACATCCAAAGAGTAAACATTGCGCAATGTAAAGAATCACAGCCTGCAAAATGGACTGTCTTCTGGTAGCGCAAAGACGTCAGCATTAGGCTCCGCCCTATGTGTTTCGTGAAAAATCACATCTTCCGGGGCAGAACTTTGGTTGCTATTTTTCCCACAGTCTGACATGCTGGATGAACACTATTTGGGGCAGGGGAATGGAGTTGTTGATATGTGCACATGGAGGGTGCTTCCAACTACATTATTAAACTGGATGTTTGTACAGGGCATACAAGTGATCGTGAGATAATTTTATTCTTTGTTAGCGTTTATATTCAATGCGTAACACCAAAATGGTAAAGGGATATTCCTATGGAAAACTGTTTTGAGAGAATCATGGTGGATACCATTGCTGACTATTACTTTAGAAAGTGCTAGTTGAGAGCTGTATGGAAACACCTCTCACTCCCGGGCTTAGATATATGCTTGTTTTTCAGGGTGCATGGCTCTTTGCACCAGTGTATATGACCCCTTACTGAGAAAGTCACATTAATTTTTCCTTTTCCTTTTTCTGTTTTTTTTTTTCCATTTTTTTTATTATTTATTTTGACTTGTGAATGCTGTTGTGTACCTTATAGGATATAAAACAACATTATTTGCATGTTTAATGCGCATGGAGAGGCTACAACCCCCCCACGTTATAGGACAATGATCACATGTTTGTTCATTTACTAATGTGGGTCACCAATCCAACTGTACCTTTATGATTTATCCCTGATCTTGTTTAGTTTATTTAGTAAATCAGCCTCAGTGTTTGTATTGCTTGATTATGTCAAGATTCCATGTACCCAAGTAACCATCTAAGTTATTTTAATAGCTTAACAAAAGTCTTATATGTAGTTTGATTTTTCTTATCATCACCAAGAGTGTGGAAGTTGGTATAACGAGCAAAAAGTGTGATTAGATAACAGTACAGAAGTGAGAATTACTGAACCGTATGAAGGGCAAGAAGTGTTGTGGGTGTGAGAGCTGGATATACAACATTTTTCTTGCTACAAAAGTAATCTGATCAGATATGTACTAGGCTTCCTTACAAAATGTTACAACTCAATACATAAATATAAAGGGAATCTAAAAGCTTAAAGTAGTATTAAATTCAAAAGCGAACATTTATTTTATTGCAGCTTACCAATTCTTGGATGTGATGGCTGCATTAGTTTTCATTTTTAGGCTTTCTTTCCTTTATATTTCCCTGGTATTCCAGCCAGTAAGTCTGTTGTTTTTCAAAAGAACAAGGGTCTCTTCCAAATGTATCAGTTTACAGGGATGAGACAAACCATTTAACACTGACAGGGGTGGTTGTAATGATCAGCTTTTATTTATTAATATAAAACCTTTATCCCAAAAGGAAGAAAACTGTTTGTTGCAACTGATTATAAAGTGAGAGCTGTAGTTTGGATTCAAATTGTTAGTGTATTTAAACCTGCGAATGCATCTAATGCTCCCCTCCCCCCAGACTGACAATGTTGGTGTCCAAAGGTGCCCCCTGTGCCCCTTCATGCACTCCAGTACAGGAGGTGTGTTACTGGCCAGATCATCAGGTGAAAATCATCAGGTAAAAAAAG